AACAGTGTATATCAGATTGCAGCTCGAACTCGGCCTCCGGACCGATCTGAATACTTGGGCGGACCTGCACAAAAAGGTGAGCACTCCGACGATCAAGTCAGTATAGGTCGGATTCCCAGTTTACTTCGAGGTCAGAAATCATCATACCTGATCGTGGAGTGAAGTCCTCTACTTATGGGTGGTAGTCCCGCTAATCTCGCGACGGTTACACCTGGTAATCTCGGGACCGTCGGTTACACCCGGTAATCTCGGGACCGACGGTTATACCCGATAATCACGCCGCTGACAGTAGCTCACATCGGCCCCCACCGAGCTTCCCGGTAGGTCGGACCTCGGCCAGGTTCACCTCGGCCCTCATACTTGGCATCTGTCAACGCTAGTGGTGGTGATCTCGGCCGTCCGAGCTGGGCATGACTCATGAGTCATCTTGGAGCACCAATAGAGGTCCTCCACGTGTCTAGGGTATTATCCCCCCCAAACAGAATTAAAAATTTTAAATTATTGAGAAGGTTGGTTGAGATCTCTGTGAAAAATAATAATAATAAAAAAATAGTATGGCCGATATATACTTCCCAATAGGCCCACTATTTAATTTAGAACTACAAACACTTGTAATTAAAAAACTTTAATTCTCGAGAAGGCTGAATTATAAAAAATTAAAAAAAAAAATAGTATGATTGATATACTTCCAAAATTCCTACTTCATTTGGAAGGTAATCCACGTGTAGCTTGTCCTTTGTAATTAAGAAATTCAAAATATTTTTTACTAATGCCTTGTTTATCTAGTTAGCTTTTTTTTTTTCCTTCTTCTTCGGTACTCAAATTCAATTTATGAATAACTCTAATACTAACCACACTAACATGTTAATAAACTAAAAGAAATTTATAATCAATATGATTTATTGAGTTGTGATGTAATAAAAGGAGCCAAGGATTAAACCTATAATTTTAAGAACGGTGACCAATCTCCTATAACATTTTTTATCGGACCATCAACTATTGAAATGGTAATACGTACTTGAAACTAGTATCGGACTAGAACTTCAAATCTCAAAGTAGCTAGGTTATGTTGTATCAAAAACTCCAAATTCTTGTCACTGCGTCATCTCCAAGGGCATATATATTTTTTATTAGGAAACTCCTCAACGTGGTAGGTTATATCAATTTTCATCATCAACTTTCAATTTCATCCAATTGGATCGTACACTTAAATGAGTTTATAATTAATTGTTACCCTATCTTCAATTTCTACTCATTCACGTGTGGATTTTATCAATAAGCAATAATTTGAAAATCTCTAGGAATTCTATCAATTAGAAATAATTTTAAAATCTCTAGGAATTCACTCATTTCAATGAAATTGTTTGATCAAGAAATGACGAAGTCTGCAAGCCTCGGATCGGTTAGGACGAGTTAGGCAGTGAGCTCCAGATACCGTGCAGAGGACTTTCAAAAAAGAGTAGGAACTTCTATGCTAAAGTCAGTAAGCGTCCAAGTCAACTCGAGAGAGAATTGAGTTTGATCGCGTACCTTAAAATGAAGCGGAATGGTCCTATTTATAGGCAAAATTCCCGACAAGGCCTCAACGGCTCTTTAAAGATGCTGTGAAGTGTGGCGTGATGTTGCGGAGTCTGTCGGAAAATAGGTTAAGTCGAAGTAGTCCAAGTAATAGGTTTGGTCGGCTCGACCACCAAATATGGTCGACTCGACATGAGGGTTCCTGACCGAGGTAAACACACTCGCGTGAGGCGACACGTGTACCTGTTGAACCATCAACCATAGCATGCCAACCTCCAACAGAAATCAAGTTTTAATTAAGTTTGATGAAGGAACAAAATGAACCCATTAAATAACTTGGCAAAAACTCATGAATTACACTATAAAAATTAGCTCTGAATGTTATTTTCTGTAAAATCCTATCAATTTTTTATTGAACAGAAAGAATTACATTCTTTCTACTCTCTCAAACTTATAAACCAAGAAATTAAACTCAGATTTAATTAGACAAAGAAAATGTGCAAACACGAGGATGTTACAAAGAGAGGAGATGTGATTTTCAACCAAAGATAATTTCAGATAATTTTTCTCACATACTCTCGCTTTCCTTTGTTTACTTGGTACGTTTCTCATCTACTCTCTACTCTCTTGAATGAAATAGTTTCGGTATCTTTTATTAAAAAAAAAAAAGAAAAAAATCAAAGAGAATTTCATAACACATTAGTAATTACACTTAAAAAGGTACGAAAATACAAACATACCACAACACAAGCTGGTTTTACACCATTATTTTTAATGACAAAGCAAACAACATCAACTAGAAACCGAAATTCAATCCTTAATTCACTCCGAACAACTTAGATAATTACCCTTTCTCACACAAAATTATTCAAGGGGCGGTCCAAATGTGATTTCTTCCTAATAACTATTCGAAGAAGTTCGAATAGTATCGAATTACTAGTCACACATTGTTCCAGTCCCTCAAATAATTTTATGATGTCATTGCTACAGTTTCAGACTTGAACTCGAAGTCGTAAGAGTTTACACCAGTGAGAAGTCCATCATGTAAATGATGAACGACTTGTTGTCCCGTCCTAAGAACATCGGTTCGCGGTGGTAGGAGAAAGGAACTTGGCACATGCCTTGCTTTATGACAGCATGAATCTTCACTTTTGACATTGGAGGAACAATTACAGGGTAAGTAAATTCCTTCACATTTTTATTCTTATGGGTTTCTCCCCATTCATATTCAGTCTCCATCTCAGCTGAAACTTCAATCTTCCCTTTTGCAACCATAGGAACCCCAACTTGAAAGTTTGTAGTCACACTCACACCAATCTTGGACGAGACAGAGGAACTCCAGTTTTTCTTATTTTTTTCCTCGTACTTGAATTGAAAAGTTACTATGTCAGTTTCTTTTGTTTTGTTGACAGCAGTTCCTTTCGCCATTGACACCACCTTTTGACCGTAAATTCGAGCATCGTTAAGTCGATACTCCACGTTATCAATGGTCCTCGAAATTACAATCTCTACCACTTCCATGCGCGATTCTTTGGTAATAGTAACCGCACCAGCATTGAGACAACTCGTTTTTCCCTCGATGGTCAGTCTCTGGCAGAAATGATTATTACCTATAAAGAATAAATGTAATGTAATTCATTCATGGTTAACACACATATCATTCACCAGAAGATCGGAGGTAAGAGAGAGTCAACATTGGTTCGCTGATAATTAAGAATATACAAAAAAAAATATTACATTACCTAAGTTGCGAAGAGCCAGGTTTTGGTTGTCGATTTTGACGGGCCAAAATAAGTTGTTGGGATTGTCGCTCTTGACGGTCGATGTGGCGCATATCCAGTTAGGATCACGATACCAAAACTTACCCGAGTCGTCATTCTTTATACGAATATTACCATCTTTTGTAGGAAAGATCTCTTGCACAACTGATGAGTCTTTAACATCCGAGTTCGAAAACTTCAAGTATGGACTAGAAAAGCTCAAATATTGGCCATTATCTCCCTTGAAGGCCACATGTTTTGGAAGTATAAAGAGGGAGTCCCAATCAACGAGTGTTGAGAGTGCATAAATTTCATCATCAGCCTTCATAATTGTAACCATTGGTAGAAGCTCAACTTCACGCTCAGCTTTTGCAACGATACTATTTGGGGGAAAGAATACCCTGGACACGTGGAGGACAGCCATTGGTGCTCCAAGGTGACCCATGAGTCATGTCCCAGCTCGGACCGTCGAGATCACCACCACTAGCGTTGACAGATGCTAAGTATGAGGGCCGAGGTGAACCTGGCCAAGGTCCGATCTACCGGGAAGCTCGGTGGGGGCCGATGTGAGCTACTGTCGGCGGCGTGATTATTGGGTGTAACCGTCGATCCCGAGATTACC